GTAGCGCCTCCAACTGCAACCCAGCTTGAGATCAGCATATATTGATTCAAACCTACAATTATATTGATCATGTATAGCTCCGTTCCGCACTACCCAGTTAAGTAACTGAGCCATTGAGCAGTGCAGAGGCTCACTCGTTCATTTTGCGATAAGCAATTCTGTATGTAGCTTTGTTACAGGGATATCCAGCTACCCCATTCTCTTCATTGTATGCTGACCATTCAGAATTGCATCAAAAGTAGGCACTTTGATAACAAATTTCAGGGGCTTAAATACAAAGGCCTTTTCACACGCAATATTGGACTCAGTGAAAAATGTTCGCTTCGAACCTCTGAGGACTTTTTGTTAGAGTCTTAACAGATTGTGCATATTTGTAATGTTTGCCAGTTGTTAATGGACCACACCAGTGCTCTCTAACCTTTCTAAAACTCAAGAGGCAGCCAAGCCTATTATTTGGCCAGTGTAACAGAGGATTGAAAAATACACTTAAAAAAACCTGCAGAGCTCTTCTAACTCCTGAACCCTTACACTTCCTGTATTTGTTAACGGGACAGAACTGGCCACAGGCAGGTGTTTGGGACTTGGTTCCAACAAATGGGCTTGGAGATCACACGACTGCAGTGAAGTGGGTCTTCAAATGGACAGCTGCTTACCATTGTCCCTTGTTGGCTGCCCTGTGTTATGAGAGACCACAATACCATTGTACAGCTGTGATAAACGGCAAAGGGCTTTTGTGATAGAGTTACTCAAGCAGGAAGTAAAGTACAGGGAACTCAATAGAGCCAAGGAAGGCAGGATGTGTTTCTTCCCACTCTACAATTTTCTTTCCTCTTCCAAAGGCACAAGTCTGCTTCCTCACCTGACTTTAACACATCGTGCTCTCTGGGGAGCTATCAGGAGCAGGAACCCTGACTGATTTTCCCTTCCTTAATACAGTAACAGTGAGCCCAATTGTAGCACCTCCAACTGCAACCCAGCTTGAGATCAGCACATATTGACTGTGACTCTGGACACTGGGGTCTATCTGACGCTAATCTCTACAAATAGCTATCTTTTTGCTGTGACTTAAATTTCTCATTCTAAATATGTTGTGAACCGATTGCTACTTTTAACAATGTACATTTCCCCCAATTCAATTATAATAATAACCTTGCAATTTGAAATAGCGCCTTATTACGTGATCAAGACATAAATAATCCTTGCATATAGTGCTTTTTCACGTCTTCTAGACATCTCAAAGCGCTTCACAGATTACACTGTAAAGTGAATTGACTACATTTGTGGGTGAAACAGGGCAACCAATTGCACACAGCACTATCCCACAAACAGTCGTGGATTGAAGTGACTAATTTATTATTGTTTTTTTTTCTTGAAGGATTATGAACAGGCGTATGGAGTAAGGAAACTTGCCCAAGGTTTCGCCCTGCTGGGAATCAAACCCAGGTCTCTCACTGCGAGGCGAGTGCTCTAACCACTGAGAACAGGACTCCACAGGACATCACAAAGCGTCTCACAGGATATACTGTAAAAAGTGCAGTGATTATGTTTTTTGTGAGTGAACGCAGCAACCAATTTGTGCAGGAGCAATGTCCCACAAACAACCATAGAGTGTGTGAATTATTTGGAGGATTGTTGGCCAGGACACTGTGAGACCCCTTCTTTTTTCAAATAGCGCCATGAGATCTTTAACATCCACCAGAACAGGCAGATGGGACATAAGTTTAATGTCTCATCTGAAGAATGGCACATCCAACAATGTCGCACGCCCCCAGCACAGCATTCGAGTGCCAGCAGACCACAATTGTGGGGGCGTTACAGACAAGTCTGTTTCTATACTGTATTGCCACCACACAAGTGTATACTCGTAGACTTTCCAGCAGAGGTTCTTGATAATGAGCCAGGACAGGAACACTGACTGATATATATCAAAAATTAGCCTTAACATACCCAGACTAGGAAAGATATATCACTTGCCTAGTCTGGGTATGTTGAGGCTAATTGTGGCCTTTCTGCTGGACATGGCTATATAAGTGCAAGGTGCGGTTGTTGACTCCCTGATCTAAACCAGCCTGAGTGGAAACTCAGACAGCAACTGAAGCAAGAAGGTTTCTCAATGAAGAGGAGAAAGTCCACCTATTCCAGGCTTTCCCCAACGCTTACTGCAGGCTAACTCAGGAGCGCTTTCTGAATAAGACTGGATACATTATAGAGATAAATTGGGTGTTTTTGGTAGAGGGAGAGGGGTAAACAAGAAGAGGAATAGATTAGCAAAGAAAAATAATCCCTCCAAAACCAAAAAACAATAATAAATTGGTCATTTTCAATCTACGACTGTTTGTGGGACATTGCTGTGCACAATTGGCTGCCACGTTCGCCCACTAATATACAGTTAATTCACTTTACAGTATATTCTGTGAAGCGCTTTGAGACGTCTAGAAGACGTGAAACCGCTATATCAAATTATCAAATGCAAGGATTATTATTATTACTACAATTTACAAAGATGGAAATATAAACACAACTCAAGTTAAACCCACCGCTTGTAATCTCAAACCATTCTCATCAACCACAGCAAGAGATATGATCACTTGTAACAAATGATTTACATGCAGCCTCCCATGGGTTTGCTAGGAACTGGTTTCTAATTGCAACCAATTAACACATCTCAACAGGAGTGTTACATTTCTTTCTATGAACGTCTCAGATGCAGCAACAGGAAAGCTGTGGAGTATCACAGCTCATTACCGAACCACTATGAAACTAAACATCATGCAACACTAAACATCGGCTGTGTTATCCTTTTTAACTCCACAAAGTAAACTCTGCTGAGGTTTGGTTCCACAGGCACTAGGTACGCTGGTCCAGGCAACCGTTATTCATGTGACAATGCGTGTTGGTGAGATGAGCTAGCTGGTCTCAGCCGGAACAGCAGTTGAGAGACTACATTTGGGCACTATACAAATGCAAGTTGTTGCTGAACATTTGAGCTTAGTGTCCCTGGGTTGGCAAGGATAAAAAACAGCCAGTGTTCTTGTTCAAATTTCATCTACAAAACACACAAATAGTACATCCTGTGAAGTGCTCAGAGACATGTTTCTGACGTGAAGGGTGTAATAAAATTTTTCCACAAATGTTGGATTATTATTTTATTGTCCTGTGTGAAGGACACTATATAAATGCAAGTTGTATTATGATCATTGTACAGTGACCCTCCTGTCCCTCCTCCCCACCGCTAGAAAGTGCTGTGTGGCTGTACATGAGTGGACACTGACTGAAGACTGGGATCAGGCTTCACAGATAATACCTTCAAGGTCAAATAACCCGCTGACACTCATTTTAGACTCACATGTGAAGAGTGAGGTAACGTTACTCTCCACCTCATGTGCACTGTACCCAGCCTGAGTCAGCAGCACCATTAATTAGGAGAGGAGGTGCGAAAATTGTACGGATACATTTTTTTGATATAGTAAATGCTGTATACTACTGTGCTCATTGATGCTCGACTCCAGGTGAGCATTTGATGTCAGTGGGCTAGGCCAGGATTCTCAGCATAGATCAGGGGTCCTGCTCACAGTCCATCTACAACCTGGGAATTTCCTGGACCACGTGGCTCTTCCACACAACCTGCTGATATTCACAGTGCTCAAAAGGCCCAAATACCTATCTCTGGTCCTAAGAAAGCCCTTTGGCTCAGTTGATCTCATCTCCTGTGGCATCCTGTAGCTCAGTGGTTAGAGCACTCGCCTTGCAAGCGAGAGACCTGAGTTTGATTTCTGGCTGGACGAAATGTTGGGCAAGTTTCCTTACCCCACATGCCTCTGTTTACCTAGCAGTAAGTAGTCGATTGGCGGATCACTTTTCCGGGGGTAATAACTCCTTCAAAAAAAAATTGGTCACTTCAAACCACGAATGTTCTGGGACACTGTTGTGCGCAATTGGCTGCCACGTTTCGCCCACAAAATATACAGTCAACTTACTATTCTAAAGCCCTCCTCACCGGTCTCCTATCCATAAAATCCAAATCATTCAAAACTCTGCTGCCTGCATTCTCACCCGCACGAAACTCCGCTCCCCGATCACCCCAGTCCTTGCCAGAGAGGATCGACTTCAAGATCCTCACCTTTGTATTCAAATCCCTCCACTTTTATCACCTTCCGTTATGGAAGGGGATCCGTTACTGTAAAGCGCTCTGATACGCCGTCCGGCGTGGAGGGCACTATATAAATCTAAGTTGTTGTTGTTGTTTACAGTATATTCTGTGAAGCGCTTTGAGATATCTCGAAGACGTGATGAAGCGCTATATCAAATGCAAGATTATTATTAACTCTCCAGAATACCCACCCTACCATCTTCCCATCACAGCATCAAGCTGCTTTGTAAATTAATCTAGAGTGCCCTGGCTTCAACTACCTTTCCTAGCGACCTGTTCCAGTTGCTAATTATCCTTTAGGTAAAGAAAACCTTCCTGGTGTCTGTCCTCAAATTACCCTTTGAAATTCTAAACCTGTGCCAACTTGATGTGCTATTGTGGCATATCTGAAAATAAGATGTCTGAGCTACATACGGCTTTGTGTTGCGCAAACTAGACTTTCACACAAGTGTGTGTCCAGGGAGGGGTGCTGTTCAATTCACAACAACAATTTACATCGGTGTAGTACCTTTACACAGCTAACTGGGCATCCGAGCTGGTGCAAGGCAGGGGAAACAGGTGACCAAAAGATGAAAAGTTCTTGACGTGAAAGGGGCCGAGGTGGAGCAACTTGGGAATAGAGCTCCAGAGGGCGAGAGCAGAATGGCTAACAGCTGGCCTATTGATAGTGAGGCGGCCAGGGCAAGGGAAGTAAAACAGGCCAGTGTTAGTTAGGTGGAGGGAGTGGCTGGTCGGTAGGGCTGCAGGAGGATAAAGTGGTAGGTCAGCTGAGGCCGTGAAGGACTCTGAACATGAGGACAAGGATTTTAAACTTACACGTGCTCCATATCACAAGCACAGAGAGCGGCAGTGGGTTTAACATTGTTTATTGTGCTGTCAAGAGCAAATTTACAAGAAAATGCCTTACATTTAAAAAAAAAGTAAACAAGCAAACTGCAGACCTGCAGTGCACTCCAAGTGCCACATACGCATCTATTTTAGAAATATATTTGCATTATTTTACATTAGCACAACAGTAACCAAGATACAAGAGTGTAATGGATACAGTGCGTAGCGGATGTCAATCCTTTTTTTTAAAAAAAGCATTTCACCCCCGTGTCCTGTATCCTGTTAGGTTCTTTTCTCTCCAGAATTCGGCCACACTCACAAAACAAGCAGTTATGATATATGTTAAAACTTCTTGACACAACTCTTTTGGTGGGAAAGGAATGAATAATTGGTCTTGACAGAAATATTCTTTTAGAGTGGACAGGAAGAATTGCTTTCATGTACGTAAACAACGAGCCAGGGATGCTGGGGTGGGGGTGGGGTGGTTGTGGTGGGGGGGGATTAAAGGAAGGGAAGATAGTACAGGGTTTTCAGCAAATAACCTTTCTTTAGGGATAGACAGGAAAATCTCGACCCTTAAATTTAACCAGAGCATCTTTGACTCCAGTACGTACAGAGCAAACACCTTACATCTTGTCATGTTCTAACTCTTCATTAATCATCAGATTAATAAATTAGGTCATTTAAACAATAAATTAGATTTCTTTTTTTTCCTTTTCAGTTTCAAGTTCAGCAAGCTCCAATTTCAAGTATCTACAACAATACTTGAGAATTTCCAACTACGAAACAACAATTACAACATTTTCACATTAAGCAAACTGGGTAATGGATTCTCTCATGAAAGCACTTTAAAAGATATTACACAAGAAAAAAGGGGTGGGGAGTAATTAGTATAAAAAGTGCCAAGACCTGTCATTTTGTTTTTAATAAATTTAGTCAATTATACTTTTATCCATTAATAGACAAACTACACAAAAAAAGTCCAGCTTATCAATGACAACATTCCAGTAGTTTTTTTTCATTAGTAAATTTTCAGTAACAGGAATCTTGTCATGCTTTTGTAATTTCCTCTCTCTCTCTCCCTCAAATTTGTCAGACAATGCATGTTTGTGAGGTCTTCCAGAGGATATGGAGTCTTTTCACAATTACCCATAACATAACGTACACCGTGGAACGCCGCTGTCTTAGGAAATGCCATTACACCAATCAGCTTTATTGAAATGTGTGTTTCTTCCCTTTCCACTTCTCTTCCCCAGCTGCCAATCACCTGTCCCCTCTTAACTCCTCTCATGAAGGTATTTCACTGCTTGTTGCTCGCTTCTATCCAGGTAAGATTCCATAGGTTTTGCTCTGTTACCTCACCCGAATGGCCATTCATTTGTGAGCTTTGACAGTGAATCGTAGTACAATATTCAGCATCTCAGTCAAGCCCCATTTTGCCTTAAACTGATACGCATTGATATGCACTGCCAGCAGGGGCTGCTGGATGGCAACCAGAAGCAGGAACGCTGCCAGTATTTTCCCCCACCCATAACCCAGGGGTATTGAAGGCATTGTGCCCTTAAGGCCACCCCAGCTAATATCAGCTCTCTCATCATAGGATAGGGATTGAATCTAGGACTCTTCTGGTCTGTCAAGCTCAGCTACTGATTAGATAAACTATCTGAGTCATTGGAAGGAGTGTGTGGGAGGGTTGGGGGGAGAGCGGGTAGGGGTGAGGGGCAGTAGCTGTGCTGTTTGTTTAAATAAAGCACGTCTAGTGCATTCCAATTGCAAGAGGAAATGTTTACACTGAGCTTTCAAAAGGAAATAAGGGCAAATATACACACATACACACACAATACAATGACAGGAACAACAAAGTACAGTGTCGCTTTGCTCATAACCTTTTGAGGGTTACATTGTGATAGCAATCAAACAAGGACTGACCCATTAAACTGTACAGTCAATCACCGACATTCTGACCTGACTGGGCCTGAGCAGGAGGTGGGGGGGACATTGTGGCCTTGAGGAGAAGTAAAACCCCACCAGTGAACACGTTATTAAGGATGACTGTGAAATCCACAATGCAGTCTTTAAAGCCTTTTCAAGGCTGAAATAAGTAAGTAGTGAGAGCGAGCGATGCTGAAGCTGTCAGCAAAAGGCACAAAATCTTAGGTAAAAATGAGATGCTCTTCCTTTCGTGGATCCTGGGAGCCATCAAGCACTGAAATGGAATGCCTGTTAAGCTATTTTTTTTAAACTGGATAAAATCTCTCTAGGATATAAATACATTAAACAGGAAAACATAGAAAATTATATATATGTACAAATACTTTTGTTTTAGCATAATATATATTAACATAAATATTCCTATAATGCTAATGTTTCACAAAGCATAATCTCCTTTTTTTTCTGAGCTTCAAAAAAGGTGCTTGAGCAATATATCATTACGAAGCTTCCTACCACGGAAGCAGTTTCTAGTCTGCATACCAGTAAGTACAAACCCCAGTCTTCTCTTCAATATCAAAGCAGGAACTTTGTCCAACAAAGTTTCTTCGATTTCCACCTTCGAAACTCTAGGTACCCCACCAGAGGGAGTCGGTAGCCTTTTTTAGGGAGGGGGTGGGAGAAGAAGGGAGGTAGGGTGGAGAAGGGGGTAGGGGAAAAAACCTTTGTGGTTGTCCTCGTCTCTGGTGGCATCTTACACGATCCAGTGCTAATATCATACAATAAAAAAAGTTTGGGCGAAGCCACTCGCTGTGCTTGCCAACCAACTGGCCAATAAAAAGCAGCACACGATACACTTTAATATGGCCTCAAGTCAACCTACCCTTAATATCTTTGCCATGCGCTTTTAAAAAGAAAAACAATGTCCTTACTTATCTTACGTTTCCATGTGTACAGAAATGTTGCGTCTACGGTAGGCCTGGGAGTTTGGGACCATGATGGTCCTTTTCTACGTTTGTACTTGGGGCACACTACACGATGTTCATGCCAAAGGTTTTCTCTCTATAGTTTTCAGTGGGTTAGGCTTTGTCATTAACAGGTACAGAGACTGAGAAAACCAGAGTCCATACATTTGGAAAGTCACTGGTAGTCAACTTGAGAGACTTTCCTTCCACACAATGTCCTTCTCCTCTCTACAGCTATATTACATGCAGATAAAACCTTAGTAACTTTAACTTTGGTGCTAAAGTGTTCTAGGAAACACTTGGTCAAATATCACAAGGAAAAGCGGGAATGATTTTTTTCTGGCATACTGTAGGAGTGAAACGAATCCTGTCCCGTAAAGTCTCAGAGCTGTACATGAATTCACAAACCCAATACAGTCCATTAAGCAAGTGCACAATTGTAGCTTGGTTTTTTTTTGTTTGTTTTTTTTGCATTTTTTTGTAGCGGATAAAAAGAGTCTTTCTGGGTCGAGAGGCATCTCACACTGTCTGGTAGAAGCTGTCCACCTGCAAGTTGTTCTGCTTTGTGTTTGGCATGCTATAGAAACCACTGTGTCTGGAGTCTGGGTCTGCCATCCTCAGCATTCTCTGGGAGCTATCCACTTGAACCATGGTTCCTTTCTTACAGTCCACATAAACCAGCTGATTATTCAGACAGGAGGGCTGCAAGACAAGAAGAAAAGAAAAAAAAGCTTAGCTGGAATGAATCCTCATCCACAAAGAACAACAAGAAATTACATTTGTATAGCGCCTTTCATTTTAGGAGGATGTCCCAAGGCGCTGGACTGTCAGGGATCTGCACCCAAGCTGGTAGTTGGGATCAGGAGGGATGGAGGACAGAAAGGGTAGGGGTAGGAGGGTGACTGAAGGCATGGTTAAAAAGGAGAGCCTTGAGACAGATCTTGAAGGTGGCAAGGGAGAGGGAGCGAGGTGGAAGGACTGTGGGATGGAGTTCCAGAGGGTGTGGGCAGAGTGGCAGAAGGCCCGCCAGCCAATGGTGGGGCGGACAAGGCGGGGGACGTGAAGCAGGCTGGAGCCTGCTCAGCGGAGGGAGTGGGCAGGTTGGTAGAGGGTTAGGAGGTCACAGAGGTAGGGAGGAGCGAGGCCATGAAGGGTTTGAAGTTGCGGATCAGGATCTTGAACTGTATCCTCAAATCACCAGTTTTGCTCTTGTTATTACATCTTATTTTTGTAATTTTACATGTCATTTAATAATAATAATCCTTGCATTTGATATAGTGCCTTATCATGTCATTGAGACGTCTCAAACCGCTTCACTGAATGTAATGATTGTATATTTTGTGAGTGAAACGCAGCAGCCAACTGCATACAACAGTGTCCCACAAACAGTGGTGCATTGAGTGACCAAATTATTATTATTTATTTCAGCTACAAGATTCACTATCCAAGCACATATTAGGGCTTACCTTTCTTTTCACTTTATTCCTCTTACTCTATTGGCCTTGAAGGTGCTGGCTTAAACTGGGCTACAACATTATATGTATATATAAACATAAATTGTATTGTATTGTACAATTCCAGATATGGTACCATAACGGGCATTTATGGTACTAAATCTCTAGTAGCTTACCCGAATCAATCTTCATGTGAGAGTTTGGACAGTGAGTTAATTTCTATTTCCCAAGGTCAACTTTATCAGCCCTACCAAACTATCTCATAGGCCAATTGGGATATTACTCCAAAACAATCAACAACAACTTGCATTGATATGGCATCCTTCACATGAGGCAGCGTCCTGGGACGCTTGACAATGGCAACGTCTGACTCCCAGCCCGGGGGAGAGGGAGGTGACCATAAACATGATCAAAAAGGAAGTTCTTTAGGTGGGTTTTTGAAAGTGGGAAGGGAGAGGGCAAGGCAGAAGGATTGAGGGAGAGAGTTCCAGAGTTTCAGGGCGTATCCGGACAGCAGAGTTTTGAAGTAGTTGAATGTTGTGTATGGTGGAACTGGGGACACTAGCGAGGAGGGCATTGGGATAGTCCAGCCGGGAAGTGATGAAGGTGTGGACGAGGGTTTTGGCTGCTGTGTTTGTGAAGTACGGAAGGAGGCAGGTAGTGTGATGGAGGTGGAAAAAAGCGACCCTGGTTAGGGAACAGATGTGGGGTAGAAAGGAAAGCTGGGGGATTGAACCTGACGCCTAAGTTACGCACGGGTTCGGAGAGTCTAAGGGAGAGACCAGGGAGGTTGAGGAGTTCAGATCCGCATATATGGTTCCCTCTGCCTCCTCGTTCTCCGGGATCTCTCCGCCGCGTTCGATCACGCCATTCTCCACTGCCTCTCCTCCCTCATTCACCGTAGTGGGACCGCACTTGCATGGTTTGAGTCCTACTTCACAAACTGCCAACAATACATCTCTGCAAATCGCTTTTCCTCCCACTCCTGCCCGGTCACTTGCAGGGTACCCCAAGACTCCATCCTTGGGGTAGATTTGTGTGTCATCCGCATACATGTGGAAGTTGACCCCATGTCTGCGGATGACATCGCATGTAGATAAGGAAAACAAGCAAGCAAAAGATGGATGCAGGGGTTTGATGATTGAGTGGGTTTGTTATCCTAGATATCTGAGACACTTGGCTATCTTATTTGACACTGGATATCACAGACCAGAGACCATCCTGGGAACATTCTGCTCTATGATTCAACACTGTACGCAAGTGTTATCAGGAGAATGCTGCCTTCTTATAAGGGTTTTGACCGACTTCCACAAAGAAAAGTTTCACAGTGGAGATCGTTTATCTCAGGACTAAAGTGCAGCTGTACTATTTTCAATTTCCTTTGCCCGAGGACATCTCCTGCTCTGCTTCAACAGGCATTGGTATGGAACCTTGCCAATGAAGCTCTGTAACTGGCTGAGAGGGGTATCTCTTTCATGCTATTCTCTATCTATGTAGGGAACCACGATCCCACTGCAGTAAGGCTGGAAATCCAGTGGACAACACAACTGACTTAGTGAAGAATATTATAATAATAATAATCCTTGCATTTGATATAGTCCCTTATAATAATAATAATTATTACGTCGTTGAGATCTCAAAGCACTTCGCAGAATATATTGTAAAGTGGATTGACTGTGTATTTTGTGGACGAAACACAGCAGCCAATTGCATACAGCAGGGTCCCAAAAACAATCGTGGTTTGAGTTGCCAATTTTTTTTGAAAAAAGCAATCCTCCAATTGACTTAACAACTGGGTTCCTACTTACTGCTAAGTAAACAGAGATATGTGGAGTAAGGAAACTTGCCTAAGGTTTCATCCCGCCCGGGAATCAAACCCAGGTCTTCTCTCTTACGAGGTGAGCATGCTAACCACTACATTAAACATGTTAAACAGAACTCAAATTCAATCTGAATGGAGATTCATTTTCCAAGTAGGTACAAAAATCTCCAAAGATCTGACAGAAAAGCAAGTCAGGAAAACACAAAAAAAACTAAAAACATTAATTGTGTCCTTGTCCATTATTTTTTAATCAGATGTAAGAAGATGTATCTTGTTATATCAAAGCCTCTCGTTCCATTTAATATTTTTTTGCTTTTTTTGCCAGTTGATTTATATTTTTCCTCGTCATTTCCACATGGGATACATTCTTCCCTTTTGATATTGTGAATCTTTTATCTGCCTCCAAAACATTAAAAGGGATAAAATATCACATGGGAGTCCAAAATACTGCTGTTAGGTTTCTTTTTGGCCAATTGTAGTCTTTTAGTTTAGTGCTTTAATTTTCGGTTTGAATATTCGTAAGCATGGTGGTGGGTTTCCACATGTGTTAGACATCTAGTTCCATCTCCTGAAATCAATGGCTCTAAGATTCAAAGCCGAGCCTGATCTTGACCTCGCTTGATATGTACATGCATGTATTAGCCAACAAGGGACACTAGATGGCAATCAAGATCAGGAACCTTGGTTGATATTTTGCTCATGAGCTTGGAGGTGCTGATGGCAAATGTAGCCCATCTACTGCTGCCTGACTGAAGCCCACTATCTCAGCCCAGAATTGCGATCACTCCTCATCATTACACAGTAAATACTTTTATTGTTGTAGGGGCCAGGGCTGTACTGTGCTCTGCATGTCTCAGTTCCATGCCAGGCAGTGGTACTGCTGACCGAATCATCGGAGAACTCGCAAAACTTTTAAAGTTACTATGAATTATGAATCACCCTATTTTTATCCGCTTTAGATCCTGAGTACCAAGCACATTGGAGTAAATTGGCTTCAAGGAGTTATGGAGCTGGCTTTACTTCAGTAGAGATACAATAATTAACTTGGAGTGATTCAGCTGTACCTGTTAAATCACCTCCCTTGTGCCATCAGGCTCAGTAATTCTTCTCAGAAAATTACTGTGATAAAGCAGTGATAGTTCATTGCTTATTGAAAGATTACAGAAAGTTAAAAGGGAAAGCTGCCATGCAAAGAGCGTCTTTTTTGTGAACGCTAAGACTGTTTTAATCAATACAATTATAATACAATTTATAAATACACACTTATGGAAAGATGACCAAAACTATGATCAAAGGTATGTTTTGAAACAGACCTAATGAGAAAGAGTCTCCTGGTTCTCTGACATAGTGTGTCTAAAAAATTTGGATGTATTATACAGAGTAGTTTGGCGGCCATTAAAAATAAAGTAGTCATGGCTGTTTGTGCGACACTGTTGTGCACAAATTGATTGCCAACTAATATGGAGGGCGTTCACCATGATCACCAACTCATACAAAGTGACTCCACTGTACAGAAAACTTTGTGAAGCACTTTGAGATGTTTCAGCATGAAAAGGTGCTGTATCAAATGCAAAGATGTTTATTATTTGAAGCTGAAGAACAATGTGAGTCACAGATATGCTTTTCCCCTGGGTGTAGCTCACGTCTTCAGCTGCATCCACATCCGTGGAGCTCTGAAAACTGCATACATGTCGAGTGCAGCCAGCTGATTGTGGCCACACTCCTGTTTGCTTGGTAGAAGTACAGTTTATGACTCTCAAAATGCAATAAAAAGCACACTTGCTGTTAATCTCCATGATTTAACAGCAAGTATGGTGTGAGGAATCTCTCAAGGACAGCCTACCTTTGTAGGAGCTCTGTAGCAGGGCACTGGGATCCACCGTTTCTTCTGATTAACCAGCAGCAGAGCTATGACAAGAATCAGGGCGATCATGACCGGAATGGCCACCCACGCCACCGAGTGTATAGCAGAATCCTCGTTGTCCCGGGGATAATCTCCGCCGTGGGCATTAACACGAAGGTTCTCTACATGGAACAGGAAGAAAGTAATTCTTTGTTAGGATTTTCGCCAAAGTCTGAAAGTTAGGAACAAGAGCATTACCCACTAAGAGGAGCACAGTGTGTGTAGACATTGGTAAAGATTATTGTTATAATTAAAGTGCTCTGGGATGCTGCCCTGTGTGAGGGATGCTATATCAATGCAAGTTGTTGTTGTTATTATTAATAAGAAGTTCACAACTGATTACCAGAAAGTGGAAGATGGAAAGATCCTTAAATTTGATTCAGTGGGTTATCATGGAAAAATATCTTAATCTGCTTCATATTTTTGAGGTGATTGATGGTGTTTATTGGGTAAAAGTAGCAGTTAAAAAAAATTGGTCAATTGCGCAATTGGCTGCAGGGTTTCACCCACAAAATCCAGTCCACTTTACATTACAAAGACGCTTTGAGACATCTCAATGATGCAATAATGTGCTATATCAAATGCAAGGATTATTATTATTATTATATTATAATAATAATAATCCTTGCATTTGATATAGCGCTTTTCACGTCTTCTAGACATCCCAAAGCGCTTCACAGAACACACTGTAAAGTGAATTGACTGTATATTTGTGGGCGAATGCGGCAGCCAATTGCGCACAGCAACGTCCCACAAACAGTCGTAGATTGAAAATAACCAATTTATTATTGTTTTTTTTGGAGGGATTATTATTAGGCGTGTGAAGTAAGGAAACTTGCCCAAGGTTTCGCCCTCTGCCTGGAATTGAACTCAGGTCTCTCACTTGCAAAGTGAGTGCTCTAACCACTGAGCTACAGAACTCCACAATCATCTTAGTAATGTCCTATGAGCTGAAATGTGTTGAATGATGCATTGATCTGTTCTCTTGCCCTCTCTTGAAGTCTTATTATCTACAGGATGCAGATCATCCAGAACTCTGCAGCCCGTGTTCTCTCCCGCACCAGGCTCCGTGAACCTATCACCCCCATCCTCGCCCAACTCCACTGGCTTCCCATCACATAGAGGATACAGTTCAAGATCCTGGTCCTCATCTTCAAAGCCCACCACTGTTTTGCTCCCCCCTACCTCTCCGACCTCCTAACCGCCTACCATCCTGTTCGCTCCCTCTGCTCAGAGGGCTCTGGCCTGCTTCATGTTCCCCAATCCTGGTTGAGATCAGCTAACTCAACACCAGGAATCAAACCCGTGACCTTCTGGCTTGTTACAGTTTATCAGAGGTGCCTTCATCCACCTCCACATCCGAAGAGGGTCAGTTCACAACATAGCTGTTATTTTGCAATACAGTGATAACCAACATGCAACATATGTTTGAGCTTGTTTAATCCTGAACTATGAATTGCTCTGTGAATTGAGCTATAAAATATTTACTAGTCAAACATTTAATGCAGACTGGAAAGGACAATATATGGCTCAATACAAGTGTTCCTGTTAGGAAGCAGTCCACTAGACAGTTACTCGAGTGCTTTTATCTGCACTTAAATCAGGTAATGTTTAATAATGCATTTCCATCTACCATTAAATAAAAATATTTAATTAAAGAGAGTGATTTAATTACCAGCACTCTTGCTGGTCCATTGAGACTGGCATTTCAAAACCAGGCGGAATGAGAAGACTGGAGCTATACAATTTTGGCCTGGGCAATCTCCTCTCCTCCCACCCAAGCAGAGAATAAACTGACATGTCGTCAGTTTAGTTGACAGATGTTCTGGACAAACTAATAGGATGGGGGTTCATCCCATAGGATGGCACGACCATACCAAAGCCAGAACAAAAGGCACCAAAAGTTAATATAAGTGTAGAATCAATAGGATTTCTCCCCGTCTCCCTTGCAGTGGGTGCGCAGTTGCTAGAGTTAACAATCCATCTCTCTTACCACTGCCCATGTCTCGAAGGTGTGAGGGAATTTCGTTTTCACCAGGTGTCGGCCAGAATGGGGCTTCCACTTCGATCTCTCCCCTTGGGTCAAATTTTTCTATCGGGATGTTGGTTGGCTCGGGCATGTAGAGGTCTGTGAGGAGGCAGGAAAGCAACAATGAGGGGCACATGCAGTACCCTGTGATCTCGATGGGACACACTTCAGGAACCGATGCAACAGTGCCATTTGTAGTCTACACAGCAAATCCATGTTAGATTTTTATGGTACAAACGCGCATCACCTACAGCAAATATACATATGGTCTACAGAACAGGAGCTCGCCAGTTTAAATTCTCATCTGTGCTGGTCTCAACAAGGCTTGCATGGAAAAGCTAAATCAGCTTTGAGATTGGTGTGGGATGGGGGGAAAAATCATCCAGGATTCCAGCTCTTGACCCCTTTTCAGAACCCTCTATTGTTAGTGCATATGTGTGACAGCCCAGTGAGTTGTATCGCTCACTATAGTTGAGTGGCCTGCCCACACTCACTACCAAGCCTCACACACAAACAATGACCATTCGAGCAGGGACACCAAAGGGCAACCGTGGACCCACCCTCCAGCAAGAGGAGGCCAGAGCAGGAGCTCCGTTAACAACTCGGTTAACAACATATATAATGTCATGGGCAAGCAAACGCTGTGAAGCAGATTGCTTGCCAGCCCTCTCGACTTGGCTATCCTAATCAAAACATGGAACACAAAGGCCCACATGTTGCACTTTCCAGTAGGAATCATTGGATAGCAATCGAGAGCAGGAACCCTGACTCATTTTCCTTCTTTAGCAAAGAATGTGCTGAAACCATTTGTAGGGCCCCTACTGCCACCTGAGTGAAGACCAGATAGAGGCATTGACCAGGCATTGAGCCTGCAGTTTGCTGGTCTGTATGGTTTTGCTCCATGCTGGGGACTAGGTCATGGTGACAACTAGTAGGGTTCTATGTTTTGAAAAAGTTGTAATTCAAAACAGATCTGGCCATTGCTTTAGTCAATTAAGGAAATAAAGCAAGTGTTTTGGAATTGGTGTATGGGGGAGGAAAGGAGGAGAGTAGTAATTGTCTGGTCTAAATCACTGAATAGAGTTCAGAGCCGAGGAGAAAGTGAGGTGTGTACCAGAGTGGAAGTTTCAAGGTTGGCAGTTTTGCCATTTACCCTCAAAGCAGAGACTCGGTCAACAGACCACACCCTCTTAGGACCATAGAAATTTACGAAACAGAAGAAGGTCATTCAGCCCATCGTGTCTGTGGCCAGCAATCCTTTCAGTCCCATTTACCTGCCCTTTCCACATCCCTCTAACTGATTCTTTTTGAAGTATCTGTAGCTCTTCAACTGCCACAAATAACAATAAGGATGTGATGAAGCCGCAGGGAGTCTGGGCAGATTCAACCTTTCCCAGTAAATTGGAAACTGGAAAAGATGCTATCACTCCAATTACCTGGACAGACAGGACAGCAGCTCCCTTCTACGTAGACTGGCTCCAGGCAGGCAAGCGGAGGGCAACTGACTGTCGAGCACAGTGTCTGACCTTGCAGGCAGTAACAGTGGGTGCAGCTGTCAATATCCCACCTCTCCTCGTCTACGTATGTCTTTTCGTTGAAGTGACACACCACCTTCTTTGGGATGCTCTCCTCTGTTTCCCAGAAAAACAAAGACAAAAGGGCTCATTAGATCTCTCCTCTGTTAATCATTTTCTCTCATTGACACCCCACAGTGGCTAAATGCTTCCATTGTCTGATGAGATCGGTTAGCGGGAGGGGCTTTACGATCCCCGCTCTAACCTGGCAGGGCCAAGAAGGAGGCTCAACATTCACCTTGTATTAGCCTGCCTCAAGTCCACCTCTTTGACAGCTCATGTGTGTATATACACATGCACATTTGTAATAATAATAATCCTTGCATTTGATATAGCGCTTTTCACGTCGGGAGGATGTCCCAAAGCGCTTCATAGAACACACTGTAAAGTGAATTGACTGTATATTTTTTGGGGGGGAACACAGCAGCCAATTGCACACAGCAATGTCCCACAAACAGTCGTAGATTAAAAATGACCAATTTATTATTGTTTTTGGTTTTGGAGGGATTATTACTAGGCGTGTGGAGTAAGGAAACTTGCCCAAGGTTTCGCCCTCTGCCTGGAATTGAACTCAGGTCTCTCGCTTGCAAAGCGAGTGCTCTAACCACTGAGCTACAGGACTCCAATCCAATTGTACCATTGGAGAGAAACTTATTTTACCTTTTCAAAGCCCAGGCACAGCCACCGATTGTTAACATCCCTAACTGAGATCAGCCAATTCAGCACAGACTAGGAATCACACCTGGGGCTTCCAGATGTGCAACTAAGTGACACACCAGGCGGTGAGTTAACCCCCGCAGCCATTAAGCCAGCCTCTGTTCACAACCTGCTTAAACTGACTCCTGACTACAGTAGTCTGAAGTTTACACAACAACTTGGCATTTATACAACGGCCTTTGCTCAGGGTAATATCTCGGAGGGAGTCCTCGCTGAATGTACATTTAAATAGAGAAAAGTAACCAAGGCAGTCAGAGATTCTAATCGGGTGTTTTGAGTAAGTGTCTGAAGCAAACACAAAAATATTTCAATCCAACCAAAGTACTGTAAATATAGGGATGCAGATCTTGTAGACTAAGTGTCACCACCGCAAAAACTACCCACAAAAAGAGATAAAAGGAAACAAACCAGAAAAAATCTCAAGGGGATGGTTGGAGGGGATGTGAGGGTTACTTTATTCAAATGCACTAATCTTCTGATCTAGCTTCTAACCTCTGGAGTGCAGCTGGCCACTCGAGGGCGCAAGAGCCCTACAGTCAAAAAGAGCTGAACCTTGAACATGTGGAGAGTGTCAGGGTGCGGGCAACTGGTAGAACCCCTGACATAACAAGAAGCTTCTCGTGAGCCAGACCCTGTCAGAAGCTGCTCCAATGTGTCAGTGTTTTCACATGAAAAAACAAGTAGAATTTGCTTTGAAGTAGAGAGTGGAGTTCCTTGATGAATAATTCTATATCAATATTAAAAACCATCAACTTTCTTCTGCGTGCTTTTAATAAACAGCCCATTGAGGGGTCAAGTGATACAATGCAGCATTGTGAGTAGGGAAGTCCCATCCCTTCCCCAGTACATCGCCGAGTGTGGATTCTATGTCTCAATTGGTTCTATTACATGACGATCACTAAAAATAGCAATTGGTTCATTACTATTTATAATGGGAAATCCCACTCTAAACACAACTCATTGTCCCAAATAATTATACAAGAAAGACTCCTCAGAAGAGGCAAACCGTCCATGGTCTCTGTCAGCACAGAACTCCGATCTACAATAACAAGGATTGATATGGCGTCCTTTATGCAGGATAACATTTTACAAGGATAGTGTGGAACACTGAGCGGTGGGGGCTGGGTGGGAGGAGGTGACCAGGGCGACTGTGGCTGGGTATTGAAGCTGATAAAGGGCTGAAAAGGGATTTCTGGAAACTACAACATTTGCATTTATACATAGCGCCTTTCACATCGGGAGGACGTCCCAAGGCGCTGGACAGTGAAGGGTTCGCACCCAAGCTGGGGGTTGGAGTCAAGAGGGGTGGAGGGCAAGGTGGGTGGGGATGGGAGGATGACTGAAGGCATAGTCGAAGAGGACGATCTTGAGATGGGCCGTGAAGGAGGCAAAAGAGGAGACAAGGTGGAAAGGCTCAGGGAATGGAGTTCCAGAGGGTGGGGGGAGAAAAGCTGAAGGCCAGACGCTGAAGGTGTTGCTGGCAGGTCAGGGTACATGGAGCAGACATGAAGCAGGAAAGAAAATACATTTAACTTACGCTGAGCCATGAACAACTGAAGAGTTAGCACAATAAAAGCAGCCAGTTCCTGCTGGTTCCCTTAGAGAGAATGACAAAAGATTCCTCTTCCTCTCGCCGCACCCCCCATTATCAGACAGCATTATTGTTACTTACCAATGCAGTATGGACAGCACTGCCCTTTCCGCAGGACAGGTCGGGCACACGTCACAGGAGGGCACGACTCTGAGAAGCAGTTGATGACCCCATCCATGCATATGCAGCTGGAGCAGACGTTGGGTTTCCAGGATTCGGCAGCGAGGTAGATATCTCCATCCTCGCTTTTGCAGTAACTGGGCATGCTTTTGTTGCTCGGCGACAAAGGCTGAAGGGGCTCATCTTAAAATGGGGGGAGAAACAGGAAGTGTTTAGGAAACACTTATTATGTAAAGCAGAATACAGTTAAGCAAATTTCCCCTCCCCCCACACAAAAAAACAGGTTTACAAATTAGTTACAATCAAATGGTTTTCCCTTGAATTACTCCCCCTCTTCCTCCTCTCCAGAAACAAGAAAACTTGTGGTCTCATTCTTAAGACTTTTAGATTAAAAAACGTAAGATTATGTTGAATATTAGAATATTCTTCAATTCAGTTGATTTGGAAGAGTTTCCCTCCGTTCTTTTTAAGACTTCCAAATTAAGACTAAATTGAAGAATTTTCCAATATTTTGCATAATTTTATGGTTTAAGATGAAAGTCAAGACTGAGTCCACAAGAAATTTTACATTCTAAAGGTGCCAATTACTGCTGGTAACTTGACAAAGTGACTTTATGCATGAGCCTTGATAGTGAATGGTGGCAGAGTATTCAACTGAGGAGGGTGGGAAGGAGGAGGGAAAGGGGCATCAAAGCACAGCCAGATCCTGTTCTCACCCAATGTCCAGCAGGGTCATGGATAATGATGAAGAGTGGCTGATATGTCCCTTCCTTAGTTCAAAGGTGCCAAGGCCAATTGTAGCCCCTTAGTACTACCCTGGCCAAAATCAGGTAAGTCAGTACAGACCGGAAACCAAATTCTTGACCTTCTGGCCTAGTACTACTCATTGAGGGGGTAGAGGGTGTGGGGGGTGTGGGTGGGGGAGAGAGAGATGTGTAACTCAAGTTATTGCTCCTCGTCCTCTGACTGGTCAGACATCTAACCTTCTCCTGAATCTTCTCTACCCCATCCCTGGTTTCAAGCTTGCTGTCTCAGCTTGGGCCTCACATTCTTTCACGAGCCTTCAGCTCCATGCTGTTCTAAGTACTTACTCTTTCTCTGCAGCACGGGTAAAACTGCTGTGTCAAGTGATTGATTGAGGAGTTTCAGCCTCATTTAGGACTTGGATAAACATTGGCAGTGTTCTGGCTTGGGCATAAGGTGCAGGCAGACGCTCCCTTGTAGGAATGTTTTTCGGATGAATCACTGATGTGCAACTGGGATTTGCATTCATCTGAACTGTATACAAGTGGGCTTTAATGCACCACAGAAAATCTTCACTCTGTGCTAAACATTTTCTTTGAAGCTGTGAGCTCCATACAACATAGGACTAACTGCTTCACACTTGCAGATTAGGAAGACATGGATTTAGAGAACCCATTTTGCACAAGTCAATGCTCTCTAGCTATATCTGCGATCGCCTCTTGCCCTATGCTCTTCCTTGTTTTTCCAACTGGTCCACTCTCATTCCTCACACCCTCTGACCACCACCAGTCATCTATCTTTCAGCGGCTACGCCCCTGCATATTCGAGCTTTCTCCCAAAATTTCTCTGCCTTGTGTTTCTCTCCCTGCTAAAATACACGCTCTTTGACCGTGGCCTTGGCCAACATCCTCAATCTCCCCCTCCTCTCCTTGATCCGTGAACCTCTTTGTAACGTTCTTTGCGACTTTCATCCTACTTGAAGGGTGCTGCTCTGTAGCTGCAAAAAGTTGTTTTTATTTTTCCAATTGGCTCAGTCAGTCTTACTTGACTGAAATGTTTGTAATGGTTGGGGCAAGGTAGGTGTATACCTGGGCACTGTGGGCAGCACGAGTCCTGGGTGCGGATGGGGTTCTGGCAGAGGATTGGCGGGCAGACCTCGGTGTCGCACAGCACCCGGCCAATGTGGCACGTGCACTGGGTGCAAGCGTCGATGTTCCACGTTTCTCCTTCCACAAAATATTCACCGCCAGGAGCGTGGCAGATAGATGTGTCGCTCAGCTCAGGCTTCCGAAGGCCAGAATCCTCTGAAAAAGCACAATATATAAAAAGCACAATATCAACACTCAGCAAAATGAAGAGGCTGCCAATGTGTACCAGACTGAAGAAAATTAATTTCTTTACCAAAGAAAATGAAGGCGTGCTTTCACATCGTTTGGCCGCATTAGAGGGTACTCTAAATGCTGTTTGCCAAGACTGGAACTCATTACTATGTTTTAAAAGGGAAAGGATACCATCCTCTGTCAGGATGCATAGGCTTAAAGCCTATCATTTTTAATAGCATGTGGAGTCCTGTAGCTTAGTGGTTGGAGCACTAGCCTCGCAAGCGAGAGGACCTGGGTTTGATTCCTAGCGAAACATTAGGCAAGTTTCCTTACACCACACGCCTGTTTACCTAGCAGTGAGTAGGAACCCTGTTGTTAGTCAACTGGTGGATTGCTTTTCCTAGGGTAAGAATCTCTTCAAAAATAAATTAAAAAATATCAATAATTTGGTCACTCAATCCACGACTGTTTGTGGGACACTGCTGTGCGCAATTAGCTGCCATGTTTTGCCCACAAAATATACAGTCAATTCACTTTACACTTTATATTCTGTGAAGCGCTTTGAGATGTCTCGAAGATGTGATAAGGTACTATATTAAATGAAAGGATTATTATTATAATGGAGTCAGGCGTAGTGATGAAGAAAGCATAAACTGCTGGAGACAGAGAGAGAGAGAGAAGAGATTCCATATATACTACACACAAATAATTTGTGCCATTCTACCCTTTTTTTTTGATGTGCATATGTGTGTTTTCGGTGAGTCCCTGGGAAGGGAGAGAAGAGGAGGCAGAAAATTTACGTGCTCTGCAAAGTGAGGAATATCAATGCTGGGCATTCCATCAAGCTTTCCTGAGATTAAATACTCCCAAATTACAGACTGGTTTGAGTGCTTGGGGGAAAATCTCGGCTCAATAAATAGCTGTTCTGATTCCACAAGTTGTGCAATATGTGAGCCACATAACAGAGCAAATATCTCAGCAGCAGTAAAGGTTTGCTTGGTATGTATTTCCGTGCTCACCTGTTCCTGTGGCAAACTCCTGCCCCCCACCCCATGTCAGCATCAAGCACTCACGGGGTCAGGTACACCACTGGCTTGATGTAAAGCAGAGCCACCTGTCAAGTGGCAGATTGGCTCAGTTGGCAGCACTTTCACCCTCAGTTCAGGAAGGTTGTTGATTCAAGACCCATTTCAGCACTTGAGCTCATAATATATTACCACACTTCAATAAAGCACTAGGGGAACACTGGAGGGGTGTCCTTTGAGACGTTAAACAAGATTCCATCTGCTTGATCTTCAAATGGATCACCCACATTTCGCCCACAAAATATATACGGTCAATTCACTTTACAGTTTATTCTTGAAGCGCTTTGAGACGTCGAGAAGACGTGAAAAGCACTATATCATTGCAAGAATTATTATTAATTATTATTAATTACTTGAAAAGAAAAAATTGCAAGGCTATGGGAAGAGTGTGGGAGTGGGACTAATTGGATAGTTCTTTCAAAGAACCATCACAGGCATGATGGGCCGAATGGCCTCCTTCTGTGCTGTAGGATTCTATGAAGAATTAATCACCCTGAACGAATAGCTTAAAATAGCTTTAACAAAACAAAATGGTAAATGATATTATGTACAGAGACAGAGAGCTGCAGAGAACAGTACAAGGTTTGGTCCATTTCCTGTTAGGACTGTAAATCAATTTGCATGAACTCCAAGCAGCTCTGCTAATGTCTCAGAGAGTGGAATACAGAGAATACCTCCCACCACTCCCTTGCTGCGGACAATGGTACAAAGTGCTCCTCCTCACAGATCCAACTCTGTATTTGTTTCCAGTGGGGAGAGTGCTAGTTCACAATGGTTATCACAGCAGCATTGTTGCGAAAGGTCAGGCTGACAAAAACTGGCTGCTCGCTACAAGTGTCAGAAAAGGCACAAACAGGCTAATAATAATACTTACATTTGATATATATCATCTTTCATGTCAGGAGTAAGACGTAAAGTGCTTCACAGGATTTACTGTAAAGTATAATGACTATGTAATTTGTAGGCGAACATGGCAGCCAATTTGCACACAGCAATATCAAATAGCCATGGAGTGAGTGGCCAATTTTATTTGGGGGATTGTTGGCCAGGACACTGGGAGAAACAAAAGTCGAATATTTGCAGAGCCCTGGACCTGTGGTCTTAATGCACGAATCTGGAAGGCATCAGCAAAGTTTCCTTACCCGGGCATGATGGGCAGCATTGTCCAGGCCGGATGGTAGGATTCCCACAGTTGGGCACGGAGCAGGTGATGAGGGCGCACATCTCACGTCCACTGTAGCAAAAGCACTCGCGGCACCCATCATGCCAGCTCTCACCACTCTCGTGCCGTCGGCCATCCATGGACAAGCAAGAGCCAGTTTTGACTGGAGGAACCATGGTTGTCGGCACATCTGGGGATGGAGCAGAGTAGAAGAAAGTGAGTCAGTGTCTTGTGCAAGTCTTGTCCTCTAACTGCACAGCTGCTCTGCACATCTGCACAAACTAGGGCATTTTTGCATGTTTTACCAATACATGTGAGAGCAATCCTCCTGGTTACTGCCAGAATCTCACACACGTAAAGTATCCCATTAAATCGGATCAAAGGCATTTCATGCAGTTGCACACATTTTGCTGCTGCCCCCAACACACACTCACTCACTCTAATACACACACACAATGAGGAGAGTGCTGAAGACTCTATCAGTGTGTTGCTGAACTGATATAACTATGTATGTATGTGCTGTATGTACACTACTCTTTCTCCCCTCACAGGATTGAGATATAACAAAAGTCCCAGAGAGTAAAACACAGACAGCGGTGTCTGCCCAATGGCATACACATCACCAGGTGTGATGTGCAGGCCATGGGGCACCCACACTCCAGACCATCCACTCTCCAGATCAACCCCAAATCCCAGTAGCTGCGGAAAGATTTCACCAAGGTATTGCCAGGCACAACTTCAGCACTGACTTCAGGAAACTGTTTGGCCATTGTGTGTGGTGTGTGGAGAGAAGGGAATAGGCAGAGACAGTAAGGTGACCATCGCTATTCAGAGAGCCCTGCTGGAAGAGGCTTGTTTGTGGCCTTTGTGTTGGTTGTGTTCAGTGGTAATCTATGCCCGTTTGGGAAACCAGCTAAAAGACACTGTCAAATCTCACACATGAATGAGGGCCACTTGGCCAGTGTACAGAGTGGCAGCCGGTATCTGTAGAGCTATATCCAGAAGATGCAAATAAAAAAAGATTCAAATGCTTTAGGAAGAGGAAGAGAGAAAAACGCGAGAGGGTTAGAAAAAACTTATTTGTATCATTTGTGCCTGACCTCTGTGATCGTCCGGTGTTTGTGCAGATAGCACCACATTCCAGGTGAGAGGTCGGCAGGAAAGCTGTGATTGAGCTGCGTTGCTCCAGCACTGACATGGAACGCTGCCAAAGTAGCCATGGGGTAATTTTCCCTCTGACTATTAATAAAAGTGTGTGTGGGTGTCAGAGTGACAGAGATAACTGTTAGGTAAAATAAAGCTTTCCCCTCCATCACTCCACAGTCTGCTTTATAAAGGGGGAATGAGATGCATGACGAGTACTCTCTAAATGCAAAATTCAGCAGGCACAAGCTAGACCCCCTTACTAAATGGATTGAATATTCAATCATTTAGCTGGAGTTATTTTATCAAAGAAATGACCTGAATAAATTACTCTTCCTGACAGCCCCATTGGCTTCCAGTGATGCAAAGTGAAGAGATTAGCTTAACCGTATCATCAGGACTCTTGGGTAAGGTTTTTTGTGTGTAAATTAGGCTAGAGAGGTTCCAGACTGCGCTCTTCATTTAGCATTCCCATAAAATAGATGCTCATTTAAAAGGATCCTTGAAAATTTCATTTTCGCTCCTGCATTCCTTCCCCCTTCTTCAGGGACTATCTGCCTTAATGTGCTTCAGAATACATTAAACCACCTATACTGTGCTCCTCTCGCACTTTCCCACTACAATGTAGAAAGGAATGTAAACCCATCAGTCATGTGTACTGAAGATGTTTGCTGGCTGGCTGGGAGGGGGAGGGGCTGCAGGAAAGTTAGTGATTTAAGGCAGATGTGTAAAATAAAATAAAATCCAACCTTGGCACAATGTGCTTTAACAGGAGCTGTAATACCCCTATTTCTCATAATTAGATGATAAATTTATTCTTCAAGTAATCAAGTCATGCCAGCTATGGACTTCCTTTTTTTTTGTTGAAGTGGGTTTGAAAGGGTAATGTAGACTAAAGGGGTCCACGTGTGTAATGGGACCTCAATCCCCCACCTCTTCTTTTATCCACATTAGCTTCCATTTGTCTCACCAACTCTGACTTTAACCTCAAACCTTGTTCCCCCTTCCTAACCCTTTGATTCTGTTTCCACCTCTCCAACTCCCTACCCCCTAAATCTGCTTCCACCGTCCAACTCCAAATCTGCTTGTCCTCACCAGCTCCTTTTAGGGCTGCACTAATCTTCTCCATGCAGGATATGAGCTCTTTGATGGTTCTGCAGAGCCTGTGCTTGAAGAAAAGCTCAATACAAATTGTAACTTAACCCTAGATTCTGGGAAAACCATCCGCTGACATACACAACATTAAGAGCATTAGAAATGATTTGCTACTTGCACACAGTGGAAGCTTCATTATCCACTTCACAATAAAGCGCTGGTTGATTGTTTGCATTAATTGTTTTTAGTTTCCACTCAGTATTGGCTGAAATAAAGCAACATTCAGCAGAGAACTAGGAGTGAGAGCTGGAACCTGGGTCAAGAAATGTCGGCATCAGTGTAACACCAATATAATAATGTAATTTCTTCATATATTTACAAATGAGAATAACCTTAGTCCCGATGTCCCTCACAGTCAAATAAACAATAATAATCTTTGCATTTAATACAGAGCTTTTCACTTTGGGAGAGTGTCCCAAAGCATTTCACAGGATTCTCTGTAAAGTGTAGTGAATGTATTTTGTAGGTGAACACATCAGCCAATCTGCATAAAGCAATCACCTACAACACACATTAAGTGAATGACCAATTTACCTGCTGACACTCAGCTGTCGAGGATTACTGTACAGTAAGTGTCAGGAGGCTATATGAACACTGGGACATTACAGTGCACCCTGATCCTAAACTCACTAGTCCAAGTGAGTACCTTCCAGAAGGAATAGGGATGATCAGGAATGGGAAGTGTCTGGATTCGACCCCCTCCACTCATAACCACCTCAAAGCAGGGTCCCTTAGTCTAATTATAACTGGCTTTTATATAGTGCCCTTCAAACAAGGTAGTGTTTCAGAGCACTTAAATTAGGTGTGTCCCACCTGATATCAGCTAACTCAGTACAGACTAGGAATCCTCGAACCCGGCACCTTTTGTACTGAAGTACCATTAGTTAAACAATAAATATATGAATAAAGAGTAGTGTACCATCAAGGACGCAGCTGTGTACTTACTATTCCTGGTGCTTATCTGTGCACCAAAGTTCTCTTGAGAGAGATGTTTTGCAATCTGTTAAGGGTATCTTTTGCACATGAGAGATTCACATATCTCATGCCCCCTCCTTTTTGAATGGGATGGAGAATGATTTGGCCTGATGGGATTGCAGCACCAAAAGAAGGTGTCATTGCAGAAGGTGACTATTTTAATTACTGGGGAAATAGATACTCAGCATTCTCCCCAGGCCTCACAGGAAGAAATGAGATGCACACATGAGCTGCTGATAGTTCATCGCTTCCTTTCTCAGCCTGCTGCAACATAACATAGAAGCAACTATCATGATCACCTTCCGCCACTCCCGCACCTTTACCTCTGCATTTGCAGATAAGACAGCCGTAAATATCCTGCTCAAAGCCCATTGAACAGTACTTGTCACATGGGATCTCTGGACACTTCTTGCAGCGACAGACATCACAGCCATGTTTGTTCTTCCTGTTTCAAAAGAGAAAGGAGACAATCAGGAATTGAATTTTCCCAAACCCAACTCTGTGGCTAACATATTCTTCTTTTTCAAACCTCAGCCTCTACACCTGGGTCGGCAAAACGTTGATTCAGAACTTAATTCTCGATTGCTATCCTGAACAAAACAAGACCCCTCAGCTAGGCTCTACAACTGGCCTCAGTGCCTGTGGGAGGAGAAAATCAGCCTCCGTTCCTGCTCCTGATCGCTACCCAGAGACCCATGCTAGAAAGTGAACATGGATGTTGGGAGAGGGCAGATTCATCTGATGATTGTGTAGTTTACTGGCACTCATTGTCGAGACTCGCTCATAAAGTATTTGGCACATGGTTGAGATATGGGAGGTTAGTCAGTGTCAGTGGAACTGTACCTGAGAAATAGTCAGGAGATGAAGAGGAAGAGAAGAGGTGAGAAAATTGATGGCTTTTCAAAAAAAATCCCCCAAATCCTGATGATTAATTATAATTCCTTGTATGGGTTAGATTTAATAAATAATCAGTTATTCTGTAAAGAACAAATTTCTTGAAGACTGCCCTATACGATGGCTGGCCTGTAACAAGTCAAGAGTTGCCTCTTGTGCATTTTTGTGTCGTATGGCTTTTTTGCACTGTAGTCAGCAGTTTCAACATTTAGATAATATCTGTGTTTATTAAATAATTACAGCTTGGGTATAACTCGGGATCTGAAGGAAGATAACAGCAATGACTTTCAAATTGCTTTGCTTTCTGTCGCAGATCTGAGATAAGCTGGGATGGACTTCATTTATCTTCCTCCTCTCTCTCCTCCCCCCAGTTTGAAAGTATAAGTTCTCCTGAACAACAACCACTTGCATTTGTATAGCACCCTTCACAAGGGTAGGGTCTCAAAACTGCCCTGATGGCTTGGCAGGTAGAGGTATTGCTAGATGTGGTACTGAGCCTCTACATCCGGAAAGGATCTAGTTTGCTTCCTACTTTCGCCCCTAATGGGTTAGCCTCTGGCCACAAATGTTGGTCGCTGAGCATGGATGGAGAGGGGAGGTGGAAGAAATCAGCTAAAGTTCCTGCTCCTCATTGTTGCCCAATGACTTCTGCTGATCAGTGCATCTCTAGGATGTCAAGTGAGACATGGCTGGACGTGTTTCTGATGCACCATCTCTGTCTTCTCTATCTCTCCTCATTCTCTAGCCCACACAGGAGAAATGGTCACTTGAATCACATATATTTTGGTGGGGCGGGGGGAAGGAAGGGATACATTAAAACTGTAAACTGATCCTTATCACTGTGATACTGTAGTTCACTTTTGCCATTTCTAAGACAGCACTGAAACGTACGTGTATCCAAAAGGGCAGTATTTGTCGCAAGCTGCTGGTTTGCACTTCTTTGGCCTTGGGCGGCACTGGCAAATCTCACAACCGTGTGGGCCAGTCTGCAAACCAAAAGGACAGTCCAGGGCACAGCCTGATATCAGCCCAGTGCACAGCTCTGCTCCTGCAAAAGAAAGAACCTCAGCTGTAACTGACATTCAATTCATTGGAGTTATAAATCAAAGAGGCACAGAGTCTTCTGCGTTTCAACAGCATTATTATAAGCAAATTGGAACTCAAGCGAGGCTGAATATAATTTGTTTTGTATCCCATTATGCAAAGTGCAACCTCTCCCCATTGATTAAGCTTCTGCCCTTCAAGCTCCATTCAGGATATAAGCAGGCTTTACTTTCGCCTAGCTGGTACTGCTCTTGTACAACTTCTAAGGAGGTGACTCCTTCCATCCCCCCACCCATCCACCTCCATTCATTAACTGTCCACTTAGACGTCTCTCTTGACTGAACAAGATCGGATATTTGCTGTTCAGGCAAATTGCAGGCATATTACTGTTTGGCACTGTTCTGTAGCATGGCCCACTGGTGCATGGATTCCCTGATTCGCTCAAAACATGAGCTAGTCACAGATTCAAGAGGGAATTCAATAGCTGTTTGACGAAGAAATTGATTGAAGAATGTAAGAGTAGTGATTAAAACATATTGTATAAAGTACAGTGAAAAACATTCAATAGGTAATATTCAGATATCAAATAACCATTCGCCTAAAACTACAGCCACTGCACTTTGTAATGATTCCTATAATAAATAATAATAATCCTTGCATTTGATATAGCACTTTTCACATTTTCTAGACATCTCAAAGTGCTTCACAGAATATACTGTAAAGTGAACTGGCTATAAATTTGTGGGTGAAATGCGGCAGCCAATTACACAGTAGTGTCCCACAAACAGTTGTGGATTGAAGTGACAAATTTATTATTGTTTTTATTTTCTTGAGGGATTATTACCAGGTGTGCGGAGTAAGGAAACTTGCCCAAGGTTTCGCCCTGCCAGGAATTAAACCCAGGTCTCTTGCTTGTGAGGCAAATGTTCTAACCACTGAGCTACAGGACTCCTGTGACATGTTTGAGACAACAAGGTGAATTTATTTAAAGTCCTTCACACAGGATGACATCTTGAAATGTTTCACAAGGATGGAATCGGATACTGGTCAAAGGGGGAGGGGGATGTGACTGTAAACGTGGTCAAAGAGATAAGAGGGCAGAGACCTGATATGAAATGCACTATATCAAATGCAAAGATTATTATTATTACAAACAATTGATGACTACCTACCTTAGGGGCTGGGGGGGAGTAGGTAAGTGGGGTCTCTTCAAGGCTGAGATAGCTCCAACGGAACATAAGATTGGAATTGAGTCTATCCTCTGTGGCAGTCTTAGTATTTGATCCATGAACCAGGCAAGTCTACAGTATTCTAAGGTACTATTGATAATGGAACATGGAAGGACTTCAAGGAACTGACTAGGGTGGGACAAGGATTCTTCCCAGTCAGCTCCTGATAACTGCAAGACAAGACTCAAATGGGTAGGATGGTCCAAGTTGGAACAAGCAGAAGGAAGCTTAACAGTGCTCTACAATGGTAAGCAGCATTGTTTCAACTAGCTGAGCTCCAGCAGTTCCCCCAATATACACCTCGGGGATCCCCAATCAATGCGACAATTATTACTGGTAATAATGTCCTGGCTCAAGGCAGGAGTTGCACTACTGCATGAACAGCCAATTCCATTCAGGACGCTTTCTTGTTTCTACCTATGCTGTTGATACCGGATTCCAAGTGGAATCACGTTTAATCAATAAAGAGGAAGGATAACCCAAGGGCAATATGTTTAGTGAAAAGAATTCTTAATCTTTATAATTTAAACACATGAAAACTTATACTCCCTACTTGTATATTTGTTATTGGAGCACCTGTTTACAAGAGAATACCTAAAATACTGGGTCTCCATCGGAAGGAAAACACTCCTAAACTTATGTTTTCTCCAATAATTAGGATAAAGGGCTTTCTTGCCTGATCTGTTACATTATAGAGAAAACAGGAGTACATTTCACTGAAAGTGCTCTTAAATTTTCCTTCCCCTTTAATGTGAAAAGCTCAGGCCCCTGCTCCTCCACTACTCCTAATGAGAAATGCTTGCTTTATTTTGCAGCCAGCTTTATATCTGCATAGCTGGAATGTTTTTGTTCAGTGAGCAAGCTTCAAAGGCCCAATAAAAATTCCACGTTTCAGAATGTTGTGTATTCATAACAATGCACTTTGTCAATTAGCTTGCTCATGACCCAGTTGCTGGAAGTCACAGAAAAATGATTAATTTTGAAACCTATGGGCTACGCTTCCCTTCACTGGAGGTTCAGAGGCTATAATCACACAATCAAAGGTGCGTTAGGAAATAAAAGTCCTCCAACTCCTTAACATGTCCCTCTTTACCCAAGACATTGTGTCTTAAAAGGCAACTGCACTTAACTAACTGCATGCAATAGTCTTGTCATACAAGACGTGCACATTTGAATTGTACAATTATTGTGCATTTCCTTTTGGATTTTACTCTGTAAACTGCTAGTCACAGGCAATTTGCTATCATTTATTTTAGCTTTTTTTTATTCTTAACTCAAATTTTCTCCCTGTTTTCGTCAAAACAACAACAAGTGTTGTGAAACTCCTTTTTCTTTCTACTGGGGATAGTTCCACATGTATCCACAACCACCTCACCCATGCAACCTCATGAGCAGGGAGATCCCTCAGTTCAATATGACATCCTGAATAGGGAGTTTCCTCAGCCCATTGTCCCCATTCATTAAGGCAATAGGACTGGAGCCTCCCAGTCTTAGGACAGATGCTTCTCGACTGCCTCCATCCTTGCCTTGTCAAGCTCAAGACAGAGCTCCCTGCTGGTCTTTTGGGAAAAAGCTCTGCCTTGTGCGGCGTACAATAGTTTGGATCTCTGTCTGTGATAATTTAGCTCACCTCATCCGGGGCAATAACAGGATGCCACATCTCAACTCACGGGCAAGGGAAGGGAAATAAATCTGCATCACTGTAGTGCTCCTGTTCTGGTCGCCATCCAATGACTTCTGCTGGAAACTGCATCTGGGAGGACAGCTTTGGGCTCGGCTGTAATTTACCACCTCCCCCTTAGAAAGCACTCCCTGTCTGGGATACATATGAAAAATGGCCCCATGGATATGGAACTAGAGAGCGTTTGGGACTATTGAACTGGATTCCAGCAAGAATCAGGGTCAGGGTCAGAGAAGGTAAGAAAATTTGCGAAAGAAGGCATTAAAAACATAGAAGTAACAGAAAAAAGAGTAATCACACAGATATCTCACTTTAATGTCAGTGTGAAGCAAAACCAGTGGAATTAAAAAGCATCGTTCCCTGGCATACTTCACACTAATTAAGTATCACCACAAAGGAATTTACATTTAATTTGTATCCATACAAACACACTCATGAACATTTTCTATCTCTACCCAGCCTTAAGACCAAACTGCAAAAATTGTTGTAAATATAAGACTCCTGAGACAGTACTGCAATATGTTAAATATCATAATTTGTGAGATGTTCAACACCTGTGCTGTGAGATTTTCCGATGAGCCTCATTTGTGAAAATATTCATTACGTTGCACTGGAGGCCGCTACATATTCTATTTATGAACCTTTACATCTGCATTTTTCTGAATAAATAAGAGTGCGACTTTCAAACTGGATAGTCGGGTAGAAAGACTTCCAGTCACTGTCGCAGTTCATACATGTCCATTTGTTGGAACCTATAAAGTGCCTAAAGAGACATTGAGTAGTATCATGAAACACTCACTGGTTTTGCACTGGCACGTGCGGCATCCATTCCGGTCCAGCTTGAAGCCGAAGATGCAGTCCTTCTCCGTCAATGTGCAGTTCACCAGTAGCTCACATGTAGGAGGGCCGATGGTAATGTAGGTGGGCTCTGTGGGACAAGAGAAAAGACAAAGACAAGGCTTCAGTACAGCTCTGAAAAATTAATCAAGCACCCTAGGTTACTGCTTGCTCTTATGTTGCATGGCTCAATGGTACAGTATTATTGAAACATTCTTTAATTTCTTTCTCTCCGGTTCTTCTTTGAAGAGAATAGTAGCTCCCCAGTAAAGCATTGGGAATGGTAAGTCTCAATCTCCTTGACCTGTTTCAGGAAGTTAGCTCTTTGATTTTATGTTTCAATCTTCTGTGAATACTTGCTCATCAGGTTGCTGTCAAGTGGAACATACTTGTCTATTTCCCAGTTATAGCCAGTGCCTCTGGGAGGGGATAAAAATAGCCACTGTAGCTGGATGAAATAAATATTTGCATTTAGCCAGCAGACAGATCAAAGGCAACAACAACTTACATTAATATTGTACCATTCATTTTAAAGAATAAGATTAATTAGAAATGAAGGGAGTGTTGTTACATAGGCAAATTCAGAGGCTTAAGGCAGTGACAAATGGGTAACCAATGTACCTAGGGCTCATCGAAAGCTACTTCATTCTGCTCACCCTGAGCTTGCTTTTCCTTTTAAACCACCTATTTTGTCACTACCCAAAGATATCTAAACAGACTTCAACTCCTGGGCATACAGAAAGAATAAAAGAATATGGTTATAACCAGAATGAAAATGAGTAGCTATTGGGTTGTCTCTGCCCAATCAACTTGCTCTTAACTCTTTGTCAAAACAAAGAGCGTCTTGGTATAAAGATAGCTATCCACTTACTTCATCAGGTTAGAGTGGTGTTTTATTCCATCTTACTCAGTACAACAAATCTTTTAGTATAGATTTATAAACGAAATCCCATTATATCCCATTACACATTGAATGGTTCACTGCATTGACTGAAAAGAGTAGAATAATCCCTCTGGTGATTGACTGAAATCAACCAAAAGAACAGCCAATATAACATTGGCTGTTCCTCCTGCCCTGTCTTTAACCTAAACCATGTTTTCTTCTAAAAGGCAGAGTTAAAATGCTGCAAACACAAAGAAGTCAGAAGAACAAATACAATAATCGTATTTTTACATTCAAAAACATACAATGCCTGGATTCATGTCACTTTTGCCCTCTGACTGTGTAACTGCCTTCTCTCTCATCCCTACCAAAATAAATCTAAACAGGCTTCAATTCCTAGGCACACAGGAAGGATATGAAAGCGTGACTGCAGTCAGGATGAAGACTTTTAGGGTTGTCTCTGGCCCTGTGAGTGCTTCCAATTCCTTCCCCCTCCCTTTTTCCCCTCTTAAATTCATATAGGAAACCTGAAAATGTAATATAATAATCCTTGTATTACTTTTAATAATATAAGTTATGCAATGGGATGAAGATGAGAGACCTTGGGAACAGGAAGGCCTTAAGACACTGCTTTGAATCTCCCAAGGAGACACCAGAGCAGCAAGACTAGATCACAAGAGAGGTTCAGTTGAAGAAGGCTCTTTGGCTTATCCTTCCAGGAAACCCACCCGTCATAGCATCAAGCTATGATCCAGCATCCTCACATCAACCACTCTTCCTGATAACCCGTTTTGGTTGTTAATTACACTCTAGTTCCTGTAGCTCAGTGATTAGAGCACTCGCCTCGCAAGCAAGAAACCTGGGTTCAATTCCCAGGAGGGCAAAATGTTGGGCAAGTTTCCTTACTCCACTCTGATTACCTAGCAGGAAGCAGGAACCCAGTTGTTAGTCGATTGCCGGATTGATATTCTGGGGATAATAATTCCTTCAAAAAAACATAAATATAATAAATTGGTCACTCGATCCATAACTGTTTGTGGGAGACTGCTGTGCGCAATTGGTTGCCTCGTTTCGCTTTACAGTATGTTCTGTGAAGCACTTTGAGATGTCTCAAAGATGTGATAAGGCACTATATCAAATGCAAGGATTATTATTATTAGGTAAAGAAATACTTCCTGGTCTAGGGCCACTGGCATTAAATGGTTCCATATACTTCATGCTCGAGTGCCCACTTGCAGGAGTTAGTAGCTTACGTGGTGCTCTCCAGACAGGATGGCGATGCAAAAATACAAAGGAAAAAAAAACACAATAGCTATGGCACAGGCTCACAGTATTATGAACATCTTGGCACTATGCCAAGCCCTGCGAGATTGATACGAATTCAAGTCAAATCTGATTTAAAAATTAACTGGACTTCATTCTACTTAGCCAAACAAATTGATTAAATTGTCCTGATCTTTTTTTTATTACCATCCTGAAAGTAAAGCTGCCAAAAGGTTTGGGCATAGGGAGCATATTTCACATTTCTCAACAAATGCTGCGGCTATTTATTGTGCGAGGAATGTCTCCTGGACTGAAGCTCAGAGAAGTGAGCACGCTGGAGAGCATAGGCGCAGCCATTTATCATTGGGGTGCCAGGGCTCGGTTAAAGCTGCGGAGTCTTAAAACATTAATCAATGTGGGATTTTTTTTAAACCAAAAAAAAACTAAATGCAACTGATAGTGAACCTGGTAACAACTGAACAAAACCACTTTAATGAATCTTACAATGCAGTGCCATTGGGATTGCAAGTGCTGCCGTTTGCTCAGTAATAGGGACATTCATCTTGTGTCCCTGCGAAAGTGGGTCGAATCTGTAATTGAGGGGCTCTGACAGCATCCTATACCTGCTGCTGAATGAGGGAGCGTTGTTAGAAATGATGATTAAAAAAACAGGTCAAATTAAGAATGCTGTGGTGATACTGGTTGTAACTAGTTTGGTTGTTTCCCCCCGCACCCAATCCCAAGCAATAGGGGTAAGTTTCATAAAGGTTGTAAATTTGATGGATATCTGTATAAACTGGAAGGAGGTGGACTTGGATCTGTTCCTCCTCTCCGCACACGTGCCCCCCACCACACACACACAGATTACCAGCAGTGCTGCTGCACCTGTTCCTGCCAATGCCGCGTGAAAAATGTGATGTAGAATGTGATAATCACATTTCCAAGGTTTAGGAGTTGACACCCTGAGTGAGTGATGAAGTGACGCGTGCCATAAACACTGCAAGTTAGGTGTGGATTTGGAGACAAGTGTATCTGTGGGGTAGACTATTTGCAAAACAGATTATGCTGCACCCATCTCTTTAAAAAAGGATTAATATCGGATTCATATGGGTCAGAAGGTTGTGGGTTCAAGCCCACACATTGAGTCTTCGAGTTCATAGGCTAGACTGACATTTTGGTAGAAATGTTACATTGTCAGAGGTGCCACCCTTTGGATGAGATGCTAAAACAATGTCAAATCTGTTCAAGTGGATGTTAAGAATCCCATGACGCTCTTTTAAAAGAGAAGGGAGTGTCCCGTGTCCTGGCCCGAAATGCCCCAGATACAATTTCCATTTCCTTTCTAGCTGTTTGTAGGGCATTACTATGCACAAATCGGATGCTCAGTTCACCTGCAAACACACAGTCATTACACTTTGCAGCAATACCGTGGGAAGCATTTTTTGAGATGATTTAATAATAATAATCCTTGTATTTGATATAGCTCCTTATCATGTCTTCGAGATGTCTCAAAGTGCTTCACAGAATATAAAGTGTAAAGTGAATTGACTGTATATTTTGTGGGCAAAACAGGGCAGCCAACTGCGCACAGAAGCGTCCCACAAACAGTCATGGATTGAAGTGACCAATTTTTTTTGACATGATAGGAACAATATCAAATGCAAGGCTTATTATTATTGAAATAATAATAATCCTTGCATTTTATATAGGGCCTTATCAAGTTATCAAGACGTCTCAAAGCGCTTCACAGGATGTACTGTAAAGTGGATTGACTGTAAATCAGGGATCAACCCACTGAGCAGCCCCAAATGCTACATAACCATCAACACAGAATGCTCTGTTTTTCTTATTATCTTAAAAATACTTTGGTTTTGCACATGGCTATGGACTTTTAAAAAAAAATAAAACAGTTCTCTATTCAGTCATTTTTGCCGTAGGGCTATCTTTCTGGCATTCACTCCAATGAACAACTGAAACTGATTTGCTGTTGTGACTCGGATCCTCTGCATTACCATAGTATTAGGATCTTCTGGAAGACAAATCCCTCACAAGGAGCTTACAATTGGAAATGGAGCTCTAGATACTTAAAGTGAGTCACAGGTGAGATCCTCGCAGAGCTACAGAATAAAGAATTGTAGTATGACGGGGGCAGGAGAGTGCTCATGCCGGGAAGCGATTGAGTAATTTGTATTCATTATATGCTAATACATTTAACATTATTTCAAATACAAAACACATTAGGAACACATCAACAATGTGACAATCACTTGAACCCCTTTGCGGCTGCCCAGGAATGAGAGCCCAGAAGGGATTTACTAAGCAGCAGTACAGATCCTATGCCTGCAGGTACATCACATGCCCCAGGCACAATTGCACGTGTTTCCTTTCTATAAAAAATTATACTTGAAAAAATTCTGGTAACTGGGTTGCAGAAAATACCCAGGTGTCTACAAGACTTGCTTAAAGATCATGAGTGTTGGTTTATTGCGTGTTGGCACAGAGTGGTAGAAGTTGAATCTGAACCCATCGATCACAAGAAAGGTTTAGATGAAGAAGGCTTTTCAGCCCATTTGATCTTGTCCTTCCAGAATACCAACACAACCATCTGTCTATCACAGCATCAAGCTGTTTCTTGCATGAGCCCAGTCTCCTGGTCCCAACCATCATTCTTGTTAACCTGTTTGACCTGCTATGTGTTCAAACCATTAGTTACCCTCACACCTGATCCAGGATGTAGACTAAGGAGAGGTTTAGATGTGAGGGTTAGATATCAGCTGTTTTACCATATGGTAGGAAGAGAAACATTCAATTCTTAAAGGAATGGCTGAGATCCCCCAATGACTCAGTTGTTTTGGATGAGATTTTAAACCGAGAACTCGTCTGCTTGTTCAAGTGGACGTTTTAAGATACTATGGCACTCTTTAAAAAGAGAAGGGAATTTTCCC